CCTTTCAGTCGAGGGAATATAGCATTCAAATATTGTTCATCTATTCTTGTCAATTATGACATTTACACGAGAGTGTTCGTTTTTATTTTAAAAGTAACTTACTAATGACATAAATAATATAACGAATTTCGAAGATCAATTTATTTCAAGATTAATAAAAAGTAATCAGAAGTTTAATTTATAGTTAATAAATGGAAATTGTTCAAGAAAGAAATCTTTATTAGTCATAAATTTTACAGCAATATCTTGAAGACATTGGATAAAAAGTTCATTAGGTGCGAATTCATGGCATTTATTTATAAAATAAAAATTGACAACTTCGTGTATAATAGAAGCTGATGATGATGGTGAATATGTTCTAAGATAAGATTTTAATTCATCAGCATACATTAGTTCGAAATAAAGATTGAAGAAAAGTGCTTTCTCACATAATTGAATGCTATTTTATTTAAATTATAAAATATTCGAAGCAAGTTATAAGAGAGAAAGAGAATTATTCATATTTATTTCCATTGATATCACGAAAAGGATGTACGGTTTGTTGAGAGATCTTAAGAACATGATTAGCAAAACCATTAAGAAGATAAGCAAGTTGATATCCATGATCGATCATTGTATCTATTATAATGATATTGTCTTCAAGATAAAGTGGTTATTAGAAAGTGTCGTGTTTTCTGAACGAACTTGTTCACATACAGTACTAATCGTCAGTTTTTTTATGTGGTAATTGACTGAGTTTCAATGTTTATAGGCTTGACGTATGCGAATCTCGTTCATATCATTTTCACTTGTCTTATGACGTTGAAAATCTGGTATATGAGCAAATTTACGAAGTATATGTAATCGAATGAATTTATGTAGGTGATTTTTTACCAGACAATCGAGGTCGTAAATTTTTATGAGAAACGGTCCTGTTGATTCAAATATATGTCGACTTTCTCATTCTGTTGTTATTGTGAGATTTTATGATACTCTTTTTCTATCTTATAAAGGTAATTGCAAAGTGAGCAAAAGATAATTTCGTGAGTAAAATTTTACTTACTACCAGTAATGTCAGTATCGTTACGATAATGGGTGAATCAAACCCGCTTCCTCACCCACAAGAGGGATAGGAAGAAAAGAACAACTAAACGGGCCGTGAATGATGTCTTGCCGTTCGTTTCTTTTTTTTCCCAGTATAAACAAAAGAATTCACATACTGCTACAGGCAGAAAAAGTAAAGCAGAAAATTTCAACAATAATATTCTTTGTTTGATTTGTGCTGTGTATAAATACAAAAGTATTTCATTTTTTTTAGAAAGAAATTGTAATAATGGCGTCCGACGAAGAAGTAAATATGATTAGAATTGCATATATAACATATTTTCATGAGTATTTTTATATGATTTTACCATAGGATATTGATATAGAAATAAACGACTATGAAAATTGTGAAGCAGAAAATATTCTGAGTCGTCTTCCTCCTTGTAAGTTGTTGTAAGCATATCTATTACTTATTATTTTATTTAAAGTTCCTGACGAATATGTCGATGAAATTATTGGCAAAGAATTATTTGATAAATGTTTTCAACGCCGATACAATGCATGTCCATCATTTTATCCCGGTTTTCTTCAAGAGGCATGTCAAACAGCTTTTGATTCATTGATCATTGATGAAGTTTGTTTATTAGATTTCCTCTTCTAATTCTATTCTATATATATTAACAATCGTTTGTAGCGTCGTCCAGTACTCGTTTATATTCATAATGACAATAGTCTGTTTACCGATGTATTCTGTGCGAATGTACTCTGTTCAGAGAAAGTTATTGATTATTTACTAGATAATTATTTTCTTTGGCCATGGGATGTTACATTAAATATCAATAAGAAAACGTATGTGGGTTTTTTATATAAAATTCTATGTTATAAAAAAATTTTAAAATAGATTAGAAAATATTTGGAAGGATATATTTCCTACAAATTCATTTATGTTTTTACTCAGTGACGAATATCCTCTTCTTATTGGTATCACGCGCTCATTTGTTGGTGAAATAGAGGGTCCTCTTCGATCTGAATATAAATTTGAGATAATATTTCGAAAGGGTAAGTTATGCCATGTCGAAGACGGACAACCTCGAGACGCTTTATTGAAAGAATTAAAAACATTTAAAGAAGAATGCATTGCAAATGAACGTACTTTGGTAAAGTTTAATTCTTTTTAATAATATTCTTTATTTACATATTGATATCCTTGTAGTCAACTTACAATAATTTTAAAACATTATTTGATCTAGTCCCGAATTCCTTAGATGAAATAATGAAATATGTTTACTTAAATGATATAATTAATGCATTTACTCTAAATATTTTGTCTGAGATATGTAAAAAACGAATAAACGTACATTTATACCAACCTAATGCTGAATTTATCGAGAAAATTCTTGGAAAACTTCAACCTACACAAATTGTTTCTTTATATATTAATAATTTATCAATGTACTCAGAAGATGAACTTGTTTGTTTTACTAGTTACACAAGACTTACTTCATTAACTTTACTAAACGATCAAACTCAATATTATGATCGAAATATGAAGATGTACTTTCCAAATCTACTTCGACTTTCTTTTTGCTATGACTATCCAATATGTCCAAGAAAACTGTATGATGTTTGGCACTATACTTTGTCAAATATTACTCGATTAGAGATTCGCTGTCCAGATTTATTTTACAATAATACTTTTGTACCTTATTATGAACAAAATTATTCAATTCAGTATCTTTTGCTCGATGTAAGTCATTATCCATTTGTTTCAACAAATGAATATTCACAAGGTGATTCCCGATGTTTTTTGGAAATAATAATCGATTTCATCAAGGCTGTGACAGATATTAGATATCTCCAAATTATTACTCATAGAGATAATGTGGAAAACCTTCGAAATATAGTTTTATGGACAGATACAATGCGTTTGTGTTCTCAATTAAAGAAAATTACAGTATTTGCATCGGCAGATTTAGGACATAATGATAAACAAAAAGCATGGCAAATTGAACGATCACAAATAACATTTTTTAGCGAAGAAGAAAGTACTTCTTTGCAATCGGTATCTAGCGAAAATGATTATTAAAGCATAACATTCATATTGACATCTCAATCCATAGATTGTTTATGACACTTTAATTCAATTTTTTCTCTCACATATAAGACTCTATGCATCGTGTTAACATCCTTCACATACAAATCAATAGCTTTATAATAATAAAAGAAATAATGTTTATATAAAAGGACAATAATAAAGTAATAGAATCAAGAAAAGGTTACTAGACTTCTACGGATGAAAAAAAAAACACTTATAAATAGTAGGATTCACATCTAATAAAAAGAAAGAAGAGACAACTTTATAATAATGTTTTAACAAAATATTCTGCAGAACAGATGGTTTTTTCTCAATTTTTATTCAGTATGGTGTTCAAAACTGACAGATCAAATAGCAAAAAGACAACTTTTAGTAGATTTACATTTACCAACTCAATTTAGGTTGATAATTCTCATTGAAAATTGTATCTAGATGATTTTATCTGTTTCTTGTAGAGTACTTGGCTCAACATCGAATTTGATGAATTCGATCGTGTATCTCAATGTAAACCAAACCAAAGTAATAGTCGAAAGAAGAAATGTGCACCTAATACTGTCTATGTTCAAATGAACTATAACCAATATAATTCGAAAGAATATATTTATGTGTATTTATCGTCGTCGTTTTCATGATCATTTACATCTGCCTACGATCACATCGTCTTTAAGAATAGTTAAGAATATGATGAAACCTTATCGTAGAGAAAATTTTATCTACTTGGAATGAATAGGGAATCAAGAATATTGTAACGATAATGATATCGTTCATCTCTTTCTATTCTTTATTCTCTCACCTCTATATCATACTATCTCCGGGTCATATCTCTCTTTCCTCTTCTCTATATAAGCGCGTGTTTTATTGTGAAAGAGACACATTCTGATCATGTAGAGTAGTCAATAAACATCGATACCGTGAGAAGCGGTCAGCTACTCAACCAGTTTGTCGTTACAAATATATATTTGTGAAAGCGAAAAATTTTCGGAACTAGAGTAATATGTAAATTACTTGTATAAAAAAAAGAATACTATCAATTAATGTTTTTCTATGATTATGCAATGATTGAACAAGACGTTCTATTTGTAGTATGCATTGTTTTTTCCGTTTGCAACACTTAATGTCATTCTTAAATTGAACTTGTGCAGAACATTCCTTAGCGCAAAGTGGCTGTTCACTTGGATTTAAGCAAACCCTTGAGGGATCGCTTATATGTTTGAAGCACTGACATTCTTTGTCTGGAACACAACAATCAGAATCGGTTGTTCAGTCTGTAACTGAATAGCAACTCAATGAATTACAAGATGGTGTGGTGGGAGCTGATGGTATGGTGGTAGTAGTTAGGTCGCGATTACAGTTTACTACATAGTTACCGACTCATTCCTGAATTGTAGAACCATAGCAGACACCACTGCACAACTTGATTTGACTAGGCTGATAAGGATCATAACTAAAGCTGCAATGCATGAATCACTGTCCTAGCTTCACTGCAATACTGAGTCTCTGGATCATAACAAATATTTCCGCTATATAATAGTTGGTTGTTTAGAACCCGTGATGATTGGTGAGTTCGCTGGTGGACATTCAGCATTCCATACAATCGAAAGAGTGATACAAATCCATCGAAGCACATGCTGTTTCAAATCAGTTGTTACAGGCATAGTTCCAAATAGACTGAATATTTACATACGTATGTTCTGAATAAAAAGTTCAATTAAGAACTAACGTATATTCTTGTATAGTGAATGTGTAAGAGTGTCTGACAAGAACACTTTTTCCTGTCATCAACTGGATACGAATTAAAAATGCGAATAGATTTACATGAAAAATAAGAATGGAGTATATACACTTATATTTCGCTAATGTGATAAGCAATACATTACCAACTATATTTATGTCTGCTTATTAGAAAAGCTTCTTGGTTTTTTTCCAAGTAAAATATGTCCTCGTTTAAAAAATCATGCAATCGAAACTTTCCAAGATAGATAAAAATACATTTCTGATATGTGATTTTAATATCTCACGATTTTCAATTTTGTACCATCAAGCAAAGCATATCTATTTATGTGTAAAATGAGAAAAGGTATTTTTTACTTGATGAGAGAGTGTCTCATTAATATTATTCATATATCCTTCAAAAAACGGTGCTTGCATATTTTTTTCGAACTAATTGTTGTTTACGCCTTGCTAATATACCTTCGAGAAATACACTGTTTTTTATTTTGTTATACTAGCAATGCGAATTGACTTCTAATGTGTATGTGAACATAAATGAAAACGAAATAAAATATACGGATTTACCTAATCGCTCTTATATTTCAATATAATTAAAATTTTAAGATAATATCAGTAATTTTATTGGGTTTCTCAATAGTATTTATCGTTCAAATTTACTTATACTGAGACAAAAATATATTCTTATAAATACAGCTGAATATTAATATTTTTATTTTATTGTAATAGTTCTTCTTTAGCTGATACTGAAAATAAATCGTTAATTAAGTGTGTAATATGCAAAATTAGTCGTCCGAAATCACTTTTATAGAATTATTTCCCTTCTCCTACTTATATATTAAATAAAACCATGACATTCTTCATTTAGATTCATATCTTATATTGAGAAAATAATATATAATGACAATGTATTATAATGTACGTAATCGAGCATATGCTCTCATCTAATGCAAAACATGATTTTTGTATTTTTTGTAGTAGTTGACACAGCATTTATGGACTTCGAAGGCAGATCTTTTCATTTTTTGAGCTCGCTTTACAGAACGTTCTCTCGCGAGAGAACCTCACCACCTCTGACACACTTCATTTGAGCTGATAATTGAGATTCAGTCCATTACTGATTTGTCGCAAAGATATAAATAAGATGTTTTCCACGAGCAGAGGAGTGACTCGATCTAATCAAAGATACTAATTCTGAAGTCATTATCCTTTCAGTTATATAAAATACGTGGTTAATTCTTATGACAAAATCGATTCAATTGCAAGCAAATGAGAAATAAGATGGCGAACTGTAAAACAACTTCTCTAATGTGTACCAAGTCCATAGCGTATTGCACGTTTTCTCTGATATATAGAGGCAAGTAGTACGAAAAAAAATCATCGTCTAAAGAGTTTGCTTCAGTGAATGAGCTGGCGATGTCTTCCTAATGGTTTCGTCGCAGAATATTTTAAAGTATTTCGAAATTTTGATTACTTTTCTATATAAACAGGCAAAACAAGAACAAGAGAGAAGATTCTAGAAATATTTTGTTATATATGGAAAAGATGATTCATTGTACAATAATACACCGAAGATAATGAAATAATCAGTAAGTGAATCCATTACAGGATAACGTGATTAAAAAGAAAATTGAATCATGCTCAATGAGTTAAATAGTATCCTATGTCAAAGTAGCACGGGATTTGATATTTATAATGGGATGTTTCTTACTTTGAGAGAAGATAATTGTAAATTCAAACCGAGTTGTACGGTGAACTCATCAATAAGTTTCCAAAAAAAAGCAAATTCAATAGTTCTATAGAAATCATCTGGAGATACGTTTACATTTTTAAATGTGATGCTTTTTATAAGTATAATGCGAACTTCTATGAAAGTTAAATCTAATTAAATTTTAACAGGCTCTGTTGCTCGAAAAGAAGAGATTATTTTCTTAATGATTCCTTCGAGAAGTTACCAAATTAACGTCAATTAGTTTTAGATATGTTAAAGAATTGAAGAATTATCATGTCTTTTTGAAATCTTCATTCCTGGGAAAATAAGAACATTGTCAATAGTTGAAAACAACACAGAAACATGACAACATCTTCAATGTCATTTTATACATATCTAACTGGTCAGATTACGATATATACTGGTTTTACTATTCTTATATTTGGTGTAATTGGTAGTCTGCTAAATTTGATAGTATTTTTAAGTCTTCAAACATTTCGAAAGAGTTCATGTGCATTCTATTTAATCTTTATGTCATTGGCTAACCTTCTTCATTTACTTATGTGGCTACCTGGTCATATTATAATTTATGGATTTGAAAATGATTGGTCAGCAACTTCAGCATTCTTATGTAAAAGTAGATTTTATTTTTTTCAACTATGGATCTTAATATCATTTACATCGATATGTCTTGCAATGATTGATCAATTTCTAAGCACTTCTTCTAATCCTTTATTAAATCGATGTTGTAACATCAAATTAGCTCGAAATGTTATCATAGGATCGATTATAGTTTGGTTTTTTCATGGAATTCCATTTGCACTCTATATGGATATAATTCCATTGTCATTCAACTCAAACCTATTTATTTGTGTAAATACCAATACAATATTTAGTATTTATTTCAGTTTTGGTTTTATATTGTTACTGATGGGTATTTTACCGTTAACTGTAATGATTATCTTTGGTTTATTAACATATTATAATGTTAAAACTTTAGCTTATCGAACAGTTCCATTAGTTCGACGTGAATTAGATAAACAACTAACACAAATGGTTCTTGTTCAAGTTATTTTCAATTCTATTATTTTATCACCTTATATCATGGTATTTATTGCACAGTTTGATTTACCTTCAAACGATTTCACACAATTTCTTTTCTTGTCCAGTGTTAATTTACACACATTTTATTTTGCGGTCAGTCTAATAAGTCTTCTTTTCGATAATTTTCTTTTAAGATTCTCTTTAAAACTTTTTAGAGTCCATTTTACATCTATATGTGTGTATCAAAACGATTTCGTCAACAATTTAAATATGTATTTTATAAAATCCATTTCAATCGATGGAGACAGTTAACTTAATCAATAACCAAGTAATACCACAAATTTCAATTCACATACTTAGTGAACAATAGATATTCTATTAAATTTGAAAGTGTATACAAAAGTATTCTTTTCTTCTTCTCATTTCTTCACCATCATTCTCAAGAATATTTCCCTTCTTTTCGTTTCCACACTTTTACATGATTATGTCCTTACGAAAAAGCACGACTTTTTCTGAATTACCTTATTGTGTTCCAGAATGATTTTGCTACGACTATTTTTCTTATGTCAACCCTGAATACATGAGAAAAAGTGAAAGAAAAACAATACAAAAAATTTCAAAATGTTTCATGAGTATTATTGTATTCGAATTAGCAGTAAAGTCTCATTAAACTGTATTCATACAATTGTTTTAACTGCTTATATTTTGAATAAACATAAACTACAAGGTCGAATGACCTTATATCTTATAATATATGAGATTTTAATCAAAATTCAAATTATAATGCGAACTTGAACTAATAATAAGTAACATCATTCAATTTTCAGAAATTTTCGATCTTTTATTGTTCTTTTCTACTTTTTTCGATCATTTTCAACTAGACTCTACCTTTACAACAAAACATAAAACATATCCTTAGATGATACGAAATTAAACATAAACTTGACTTGTAGTTGGAAATTAGTCACTTGAATACCAATGTTAATATTTATGTGATATTGATGACAACAAATATTAACTCCTCTACCTTAATTATATCACTCATGTTGATTTGATTCAAACTTCATACAGTAACTAATATCTTATAATACATGAGATTTTTATTATTTTGTACTATATGATACTACTATCGAAATAAAAACAAAAGGCAGGTGGAAGAAATCTTTGTCACTTTTGATTGGAAAGTTATTTAGACCTGCGGTTTTCACCATTCGTTAGAGGAGGGTCGGGGGCAGATACCTATACAGGAAAGTCACCATTCAAAGCTCTTCGTACAGTGGACTCTCGCTGACGAAATTTATCAGGTGTTAGCAGACCTTTTTAAGGACTTTTTTTTATGATGCTGGTACTCCAACATGTCCACTGCACGTTTGTATCGACGGAATTTTTC